ATCCATAGAGCTCCGATGAAAGTAGCCTTCATTGAGGTGTTCAGTGGCCCAAAATAAAAGGGAAACAGCCTAGGTTTCTGCTGACTTATTAACTTCTCTTTTGGAGTCAAGGCATAGGAAGCATCAGATCTGAGGATTAATCTTGGAGTTCAGGACAAAGAGAAGATGTTCCAACCTTTGGGACTCTTCCATGTCAAAATGGCACCTGTTTCAAAGAATCACTAGTTGCAACAAGTATTAGAGGAGAGAAAACGTAAAGTCTGATCCCAATTAGTTTTTTTTTTTTTTAATTGTTGGCCCTAATTAGTTTTATTTATTGTCAACATAATGACTACTCTCAACCTAAAATTCAAAATGACAAATAAGCATAATAATTATTTGTTGGGGGAAAATCATGTATACTAAGCACTTAACATACTTAATGTCATTTAATTCACCCAACAGCCCTCTGAAATAGTGGTTTTATCCCATTTTATAGGAAAAAAGGGTCTCAAAAAAGTTAAAGAATCTGCCCCAAACCACATCATTTGTAAGCAGCAGAACCCAAGACTCAAAACTAATTTTGCTTAACTTCAAATCCTGTGCTCTTAACCACTTTTATTGTTATTAGGTGCCGTTGAGTCAGTCCTGACTCAGTGATGCTATGTACAACAGAACGAAACACTGCCTGGTCCTGCGCCATCCTCATGATCATTGTTATGCTTGAGCCCATTGTTGCAGCCACTGTGACAATCCATTCGTTTGAAGGTCTTTCTCTTTTTTGCTGACCCTCTATTTACCAAGCATGATGTCCTTCTCCAGGGACTGATCCCTCCTAATAACATGCCCAATGTATGTGAGACAAAGTCTCACATTTTTGCTTCTAAGGAGCATTCTGGCTATACCTCTTCCAAGACAGATTTGTTCATTCTTCTGGCAGTTCATGGTATATTCAATATTCTTTGCCAACACCGTCATTCAAAGGCGTCAATTCTTTGGTTTTCCTTATTCATTGTCAAGCTTTCTCATGTATATAAGGCGATTAAAAATACCATGGCTTGGATCAGATGCACCTTAGTCTCTAAAGTGACATCTTTGCTTTTAAACATTCTAAAGAGGTCTTTAATTAGTTTAGGACTAGGGTAGAAACTCTTGAGGCACAGGGGTAGAGACTGGGGAACAAACCTTGAATAAGACTGGTGGCAAGGAATCTTTTATGTTTTGGGAGCTCTGGTAGATAGGCAGAAACCCTGGTGGCTTAGTAGTTAAGTGCTACAGCTGCTAACCAAAAGGTCGGTGGTTCTTATCCACCAGGCGCTCCCTGGAAACTCTATGGGGCAGTTCTACTCTGTCCTATAGGGTCACTATGAGTTGAAATCGACTCTACGGCAATGGGTTTGGTGGGTACATAGGCTTGATTAATCTCCAGAGCTAGATACCCCCCTCCCCACAGCAATTCCAGGTTTCCAGAAACATTATCCAGCCCCCAAGGAAAATAATACAAAATGTAACGCCACCAAATGCTGGTGAGGTTGTGGAGCAACAGAAAATCATTCGTTGCTGGTGGGAACGCAAAACGGTAGGGCCACTTTGGAAAACAGTCTGGAAGCAACCAAGATGTCCTTCAATAGGTGAATGGATGAACAAGCTGTAGTACATCCATACAATGGAATATTATTCAGTGATAAAAATAAATGAGCAAACAAGCTATGAAAAGACATGAAGGAACATTAAATGCATATCGCTAAATGAAAGAAATAAGACTGAAAAAGCTTACTGTATGATTCCAACTATATGACATTCTGGAAAAGGCAAAACCAGAGACAGTAAAATGATTAGTGATTTCCAGGGGTTGAGGAGGGGGGAAGGGATTAATGGGTGAAGTGCAGGACATTTTAAGGACAGTTAAACTATTCTTCATGATACTATAAGGCTGGATACATACGTAATGCATTTGTCAAAAACCATAAACTGCACAACACTAAGAGTGAACCCTAATGTAAACTATGGACTTTAATTGATAATTATATATCAACATTGGTTCATCAAACATTAAAAAAAAAAAGTACCACAAGAATGCAAGATGTTAATAATAGCAGAAATTGGGGGGAGGGGTAGGAGATATATAGGAACTCTCTGTACTTTCTGTGTAATTTTTTTTTGTAAACCTAAAGCTGCTCTAAAAAATAAAGTCTACTTAAAATATTTCAATTAAAATAAAAAATAATCCAGGGAACCCTAAGAGCCACTGGCACTGCCAGTTGCTCTCTGGGGTAAATTGAGCCCGCTTTCTTCTTCAGGAGGAAACTGAAGAGTCAGACTCCAAAGTCTACATACTATATGATTCCATTTCTATGGCATTCTAGAAAAGGCAAAACTCTAGGGATAGAAAACAGATCAGTGGGTGCCAGGGGCTAGAGGGTGGGAGTAGGGGTTGGTAACAGAGGGGCACAAGGGAACTTTTGGGGGATAGCGGAAACGTATATGCTAATTGTGGTGGGGTTACACATGACGGTATACATTTGTCAAAATTCATTGAATGGTAAGCTTAAACTTAATTACACCTCAATAAAGCTGATTTAAATACACAAATTTTTTCAAAAGGGAGCTGACAGATCTTCAGCTGAAATTTCCATTGTGCAATTGCATTGCAGTAAACCCAGGAACTTGAATCCCTCGGTCATCCAACTTTCCCAGCATGGTGATTTCCTGCAGGCAGCCACTGCAGACAGATACACCGTGTCCAGTGGGAAGGAGGTTCTGACATGGATTTTCAGGCAGAAAGCTTCTGTAGCCGTTCCAATAAGAAGCTGATTGCTAGGGTTACCTTGGCTTCCTGCCTCCCTTCCGGAATCTTCAGAGGTCATACTGTGTTCTTGGTGGAGACATTCATCTGGAAAATTGCCTCAAGCCAGATTAAATATAACATCACTGTTTTTAACCTATATCTCACATGACATGCATGTCTTTATCTTCATATCTTGTTGTACTTTGAAGGCCATACCTGTCTCTATGCTCAGCACTGGGAAGATAAATCTGCTAAAAATACTACTGTAGCTACCACATGCCTCAAAAAACTTGGCATGGATTAAAACTGAGCCTTCCCGGAAGACTAAGTACACTAGTCTAGTGTATCTGTCCTTCCAACCTATAGGTCAGCTATCCCCCTACACATTTCTCTGACACACTTGGTAAAGGTACCTCTCCCTGAAAAGGTCAGTTAGTTCTTTTTCTTCCAGTCTAAGTCCTCCTATTTGGGGATGACCCAGAGGCTTCTGACCCATATTAATAGCTCAGTTGGAAAAGGAACATAAGTCACATAAATATAGTCTGACATTGAAAATAATCAGATCAGTCATGCAAATTAATAAGCATACAAGGTCATTTCCTAGAAGAAAACAGGGTCATTTTGTACAACAAAAGCTACCAGAAAGAATGGATTTTAAAGGGAAATGAAAACTAAAGAGCCAGTCCTAACTTTGGACTCCTTAAGCTATTGGTGTTATCTGCTTCTAGGCATGAGATCACCAGGGCACTGGTGTAGTGAAGGTAGCTATTCCCTGCACCTCACAGCAAGGTGGTGGACTACCGTGTCATGAGTTAAAGAAGAAGGAGGAGGAGAACAGGGAGGCGAGAAAGGGAAGCGGAGGAGAAGGAGAAGAAGTGAAAGGGAAGAAGGAAGGAAAGAGGGGGGTGGAGGGAAGACGGAAGAAGGAGGAGGGAGGAGGAAGTGGAGGTGGAAGTGGAGGAGGAGAAGAAGAAAAATGAAGACAACATTTTATTCAAAGCACATTTTAATCATTTATTAAAAGGGGAGGGAGTACAGCATTTAAGAAGCCCATTCTGTAGACTAGGATTGACAAACAGAGACCAGATGATAAAGCTCAGAAGCACACACAACTATGGGACTGACATACTAGATACTTTCAAAGGCTTTTCTAGATGTCTTCCTAGAAAAACAGAGGCTAAGTTTCATTTTCTTATAAATTCCAGGCTTAAATAAAGAAAAAAAATTATGCCTTTATGAAACAACTGATATGACTTAATACAAGTCTCACATACATTCAAGTGGCTTTATTATATAACCAAAAATGCTATCATTCATTTTATCTCTGCCATCTGATTTTCTTATAGCCTTAGAATCATATAAGTACAAAAAGTTTTTTTGTCATGAGACAAAAAAAAAATTTCATCTTACAGCTGTTCCACAGAAAACTGATTAATTAAAAAAATATAAATAAGCAGGAGGGTAAGGAGAGGGTGGGGGTAATGGTTGTTAAGTCTGGTTCTAATCTTCCCAGCTGCCTTTGGAATGAAGGTATGAAGTAGGAGGGATCTACTGAGTCATGTAGATGGACAAAGGGAGGAAAGAAAAATCAAGTGCCTCATCTGCAGATCCATCTGGGATTGATTTGAAGAGTACAATTTAATATATAAAAGCGTATTTCTTCAGAAAATTCAGAGCATTTTACAAATATACGGTAAACATTCCAAATTTACATATCTGCTATGTATAAAATCCCATCCAGCTGTTATTGAGAAAGATAAAGTTGAAGATTTGGTCCCTCAAGGAGCTTTAGATATTAATCCACCTAACTAAGTCCCAGGTTCCTTTTAGCCATGGAAAAATTTGCTGGGCTGCCTGGAGGAGAACTGGTCTGTGAGCCCTCTCTCATACAAAGAATCTCCAGAAGCCACACTGAGTTCTCTCGAAGTTCCTTAATTTCCAGATGTCACTTCACTATAGGCTTCATTAGACCCATGATACCCCTACCTCTGACATCCCCACCCTGAAAGTACCTTATTTCAGTTGGAAAATGCATCCCAGGAGGCAGAAGGCTTCCAAGAGCTCATCAAATCACAGTAAATGTCCTAGATCTCTAGTGCGGTAGAACCATGCTCCCAAACATTACTACTAAACAAGCAGAAACAAGCATACGTCTGGATCTTCTTGCAGATAGGTAAGTAAGTGGAGAAGACCATTTTTCAACAAACATTTTATTTCTTTCTCACCCTGACACCTAAACAGGTTGCTGGGGTTCCTGCTGGAAGATAACATCGTAATTCAGAAGGTAACCATCATTATAAACAAAAAGTTTCTGGTCAAAAGGGTGATAGTTAATGCTCTGCAATTTTTCCTGCACCTTTGGCATTTTAATGCCTAGCTGGCCCTCCTTCTCTGTGTTTGTGTCATAGTAGTAAAAAATCTCTTCTACTCTGGTGCTCAGAGTACGGGTGGCATACAGGACACCACACACCATGAAGGCGTTAGAAACAGATGGTTTATACTGCTTGGTCTGCCAAGTGCTTAGCACCTCAAGTGTGGTGTCATTGAGTTTACTAATCACTATGTTACCAGTGGCGGCTTCAGTTGAATAAATCACCCACAATCCATTCTCATCCACAGCAAAGTCAATATCTTGCCAATCAACATTAGCATATGAAAAACGGTTATTATAGGCAGCACCGGGGAGAGGGCGCTTCACAGCGACTGTGTTGGTGGTCAAGTTAACCTTAGCAATCTCCTGGGTGTTGTACCAGTTGATATACATGTTGTTGTTGTAGACTGCGGTACCACTGCCTTGGCCATAAACAACCCGATTCTCTTGGGCATTTTTGTACAACAGCAAATCATCCAGTGTGTTGTAGAGCCTGTAATATTCCAACGTTCTCCCACTTGTCTCCAAAGGTGCCACCCAGTACAGCCCTTGCTCTGGATGCCGAGGAGAGTAATCCCTACCCCAGGCCCCATATATATAGGAAAACCCTCTCCAGTTGAGCTGAACCACAGACGGCTTGCTGATGTTCACCACGCCACCATGAGCACAGCTCCCTAGAAGAAGAAGAAAATCACAAGGCGTTCTTAGAGAAAAGAAATGACAAGATACAAACCCTTCAACATCCTACGAAGCAAAAAACCAGTTGCCGTTGAGTCGATTCGGACTCATGGAAATCCCGTGTGTGTCCGAGTAGAACTGTCCTGCATAGAGTTTTCAACGGCTGATTTTGTGGAAATAGATTGCCAGGCTTTTCTTCTGGGGCACCTCGGGGTAGACTTGAACCTCTGACATTTCTGCTAGCGGCTAAGTGCATTAACCATTTGCATTACCCAGGGACTCCTCTAAGAAGAAAGGAATCCATAAATATTTTTCCTGTCAAGGTTCAATGACGTGTTCCGACGGAGAAGAGCCATAACCTCCTCTTTGTTTCAGCCTCAATGAGAACCTCCATGGGCGCTCAGGAGAACTATCTGCTGTTTACAGGGATGGGCTTTTAATCTGGAAAATGAGGGGACTGGAACTACCAAGAACCGTGTTCAAAAGGTTTTAGGGCCCAGAGTGAGGAAAGCGGGATTTGGTGAATTTCATATACTTTCTTCTATTACAAAGCATTTTTCAAATATTATCTTATTTCATTTTTCTTACAGAGAAATCAAAAAAGCAAGATCATCCCAGGATCCTACCCTATTTCTATAAAAGCAGAAGGTTCTACATAACAGGGCCAGCTGCAGGGAAAATTGTCATGAAGGAGAAGATTGTCTGGGCAGTCTCCCTGCCCTTCCCCCTTCTGCCCTTCCCTGGGATCCCAAGTGCAATGTCCACACCAGGCACCAATCTTGCTCCAAGCTCATCTCAGAAGAGAAAGTAGTTATGGAGCAAATTGTGTCCCACCAAAATATGTGCTGGAATCCTAACTCCCACACCTGTGGATGTAATCCTGTTTGGGAATAGGGTTTTCTTTGCTATGTTAATGAGGCCGTATCGGTGAAGGGTGTGTCCTAAACCTAACCACTTCTGACTTATAGAAAGAGCAGGTTAGACACAGAGAAAAGTGCACATATTCGGGAAGACAAATGCTGTGTGAGATCCTCTACAAGCAAAGGAACCAAGGAACACCAGGGCTACAGAAGCTGAAAAAGACAAGGCTCTTCCCCCAGAGCCAACAGACAGACAGCCGTCTCCTAGAGTTAAAACCCTGAATTTGGACTTTCAGCCTCCTGAAAAGTGAGAAAATAAATTTCTTTTCTTTAAAGCCTGAAAAGTGTGAAAATAAATTTCTTTTCTTTAAAGCCACTTCTTTGTGGTATTTCTGTTATAGCGGCACTAAGAAACTTACGTTTTAAATACAGTAATCTAAGGATGAGAATGCCTTCCAGACCCTGAAAGATGGCCCTACAATGCTGGAATTTCAACAACAAGAGGCTGTGAAAATTATTTTAGGGTAATGTTGCCCATTCTGTGCCCGCTGCATAGGCCACTACATATGACCATTTGGTGATCATCTTGTTGCAGAGTAGTAAGGTGGGTCCTGCTTGTACATAACCCATACCCTACTGAGCCATAGAATGATGGGCGAGTATTTCATCTTTCCCACTCTAGCACTGTCATCGCCATGATATGTACAGTCAAATGGGACCCAGCTTCACTGGCCCATTGAATCTACATTCCCCTAACACTTGGGGAAATGACTCAGCCTGGGCAAATGGCCCTTCATATTGCTCTCTCTCTGCAACATCTGCCAACACAAACCATTTATGAGCTATAAAAAATAAAACAGCATTCCTCTAGTATTTTTATAGTAACTATATATGGAGTTGAATATACATTTGGGGGGATCTGAATGAAGATCCTTAAAAAAACTGGTGAGATGGTTTATTGGCTAACAAAGAAAATTCAAATTCAAGTACACCTGAGGTCATTTTTTCTCTTCGTGCTGCTTGGAGCAGAGCAGGGGAGGGGAGGAGGGAACAGATACTGAATCGCTGGATCTGGCTTTAAGTGCTTGGAGGGAATCAGGGAGCCATGGAAAGCTCATGCGGTGAGCTGGAGCCAAAAGCAGAGCTCCAAAGAATTGCCTGAGATGGGCATTATGGGGGGATTGTGGAAGCAAAGCTTTTGTCTCTGAGTCTCTGCCTCCAACTGCTATGGAAAGACCCATTCCTTTCCTTGCTAAATGCCTTCCCCATCTGCCCTCCTCACTCAAGGACTGCTCAGAGGTGAAATCACTACCAGAAATCCTGCTTTTATTTTTCCAATCTGCTGGGGGCTTTTTGGTTCCAGAATTAAATACGTGCTTCTTAAACGCTATCATAAATCTGCAGTTGGTGGGAAAGCCAGCCAACCATACAACAGGTAGAGAAATCAAACCGCTCTGTACCCAACCTCCAATAATTTTGCATATCATTAAGCAGAACACAGTCACGGGTTTATTTTAATAATGCATGCTCCATTTCATAAATAAAAAAGCAACGTGCTTTCAGCCAAAAGACTGCTCTCTACTAAAGAAATAATAAATAAAATTATAAATTATTATTTCTTCTCCTAAAAGTGATCTCTCAGATGAATGCTTGTTTGCTTTTGTTTATGAAACAACACATGAATTATTAAAGTTAGTGGTGTGTTCAGTTTAGAGATAACAAAAACTGTTCTAGTTTCCATAAGCTGCAAACTAGATTTACTAGTTAAAATATCCTTCCAAGGACTTATTTATTCAACCACGTTTCACTCTGAGGAAATGAAAGAAAGCAATTTCTTTTCGTTCAGGTTGGAAGACTTAGGAACTGTTTGCTTAACTGAATCTTGCTTTACTGGAAAGGAAATATCCCAAACCAACAGCAGAAAAATATTTAAGGAAAACTTATGACGTATGTAACTTATTCAGGCATTATCATGGGATATAGGTAATAAACTATTCTGTCTTCAGATGTGGAAATCCTTAGATATGAAAGAACCAAAATGAACTTCTCTTAAAAATTATTATTACTACTACTAATAAAGGAGTTCTGGTGGTGCAATGGTTAAGCATTCGGCTGCTAACTGAAAGGTCGGTGGTTCGAACCCACCAGCTGCTCCGCGGGAGAAAAGACCTGGCGATATGCTCCTGTAAAGATTAGAGCCTAGGAAACCCTACAGGGCAATTGTGTTCCGTCCTATAGGGTCGCTATGAGTTGGAATTGACTCAACGGCACACAACAACAACTAATAATAATAATAATAGTGGCTCATCATTTCACAAGTTGAACAGGAAATTAAAATTGTACCCAATATAAATATTAAAAGTGTACAAAACATAAATCTCTTTTCTTCATCTCTCAGCCACTCCTGAACACTATTCTGTCTTTTTGGTTAAAACTTCTTTATCCTCTATCCTCTCTGGGCCATTTTTAGGGCCCTGGCTATGGCCAAGGGTCACTGGATGGTGCAAACAGTGACACACTCAGCCACTAACCAAAAGGCTGGAGGTGGGAGTCCACCCAGAGGTGCCTCAGAAGAAAGGCCTATGATCCACTTCTGAAAAATCAGCCCTTGAAAACCCAGTGGAGTGCAGTTCTACTCTGACATACATGGGACCACCATGAGTCTGAATTGTCTTGACGGCAACTAGTATTGGTCAAAAGGAAGTAGGCACAGGGAAGATAACCAAGCACTGTTGCCAATGTTACAGACGTGACCACGGCAAAGACAGACCAGGAAAAAGGCTCTGCGGGCTTTCCTGGCTCCTGGCATCAAACCTTTTTGGAGACAATACTGAAACTGACAGCCAGCCCATCGCCCACCGCTCAGCTAGTCCAGCCTGAGTCCCCAGCCCCAGCCCATCGCCCACCGCTCAGCTAGTCCAGCCTGAGTCCCCAGCCC